TTGGCCCTTGATTGCATGAAGAGCGGCTAGCTTTCGGGGGTCCCAAGGAAAACTGTTGTGCATTGGTGGCTCATTTAGGTTCTTGTTCATATGCAGGACTGGGTGCTAATGCAGCTAGATTAGGCAATAAGGCAAGATCTCAGTGTTACAAGCCAGCATGAAGAACAGTTTCCAGTTTCAGAGGGGGAGCCGTGTTAGTCTGTAATTGAAAAAGCTTCAACAACGAACAGTCCAGCAACACCGAGACTAACAAAACATGTAGATAGTACCATGAGCTTTCGTGTCATACTATGGAAACTTTGAGATCCATTAATGAGTGCCCCGGCATGTTACAATGTTCCCCGACAGGTTTCTGTGTGTTGCCTTTTCCAAGGTAGAGTAGCTCCTTCAAGAGTGAGGACAAATGACCAACCGCCTGATGCCCTGTGATCTAGCAAAGGACTTCACAGGCAGGAACTGAAATAAGCAAGGGCATGTATTGCCTCTTGGCTTCTGGCAGGACTTTCCTGGGCAGGGCTGGAGAGTGACGGGAGAGACCATTTAAGCCCCCGCCCACCCGCCGTTTAAGCAGTTAACCAGTCAAATATTACATTTCCCTGATGAAATGGGATCTTACCTTGCTAGTTAGAATGTGGTTCCATCTTCACGGGGATAGCACAGACGTGACACGGCCCTATTGTTTTGGAGCTGGGTACCCCAGGACTGTAGTTCTTGAAGCACAGCTTTGTCGCTATGGTAACCTGATGCCCGTCATGTTTAACTCCAGGCTAGGCCTCCTTTTTTGCCTAAAGTCCCCTCATTAAACTGGCCTGGGCCTGAGAGGAGCCTATTGTACCCTCCACTATGTAAGCGGCAGAAAGGTCTATTTTTAGTTGCAATCTACCAATCTGCACAGCACGGAGGTGCCCTAGAGCAGGGGTCATCAACCAGGAGATCGGGATCTACCGGTAGATCAAGGAGCTTCTGACAGGGGATCCTGACTGGTTTGGCCAGGAAACTCTCAGGCTGGAACTTCAATTGCTCCTCCGCCCATTTTCATGCTGCTCCTGGCCTCTGCCTTGGAGCTGCCTCCTGAGAGCCTCCTGCTTGTTGTGTAGGGGGTGGGAGGGAGAAGGGGGGCGCTGATGTCAGGGTGTCCCTCCTCCCCCACTCCTGTACCCTGTCTCCGCACAGCGAGAAGGGGGTGGAGGGAGCTTGACAATGCAAATCTCTGTAACTCTCACACCCTGTGTGTGTGTCTCAGTCTCTCACACACGCTGTGTGTGTGTCTCTGTCTCTCACACACGCTGTGTGTCTCTCAGTCTCTCACACACCCTGTGTGTGTGTCTCAGTCTCTCACACACGCTGTGTGTGTGTGTCTCTCAGTCTCTCACACACGCTGTCCTTTCCTCTCATCTCCTGACCCAACACATATGAGGGTTTTTGTTGTTACTCCTTTTCCTGCGTGCAAAGTGGGTTATTTCTGGGTTTTGACTGGTCTGCGCATTTCATCATTTTCATTTCTCTCTCTCGCTTAAATCTAATACTTCGAGGAGCGAGTTCTCAAATGCTGAACCTGTCGTGGCCGGAGTCGTTATCCCTGTGGTAATTGATGCTCCTGGGAGTGGCTGGCACATCCCTCCTGCAGCTCCCAGTGATCAGTAACGGGGAACCGTGGCCGGTAGAAGCTGTGGGCTCAGTGCGTGGAGATGAGGGGCAGCATATGGCGCCATGGAGCCATTGCTGTACATGCCAGCTGCTCTCAGGAGTGGGGCAGGGCCAGGGCAGGGGTAAGCTGCCTTAACCCCTCTGCTCCACCACCTGGATACTGTCTGTTAAACAGTGCCCTGCCAGAGCCTGCTTCCTGAGTCTGTCCCAGCCCTGAATCTCCTCCTGCATCCATACTCCTGCCCCAGACGTAAGTCGCCCTGCACCCAAACTTCTTCTCAGAGCTTGCACCCGGAAGACTTTCCTGGACCCCATTCCCTCCCTGGGCTTAGCCCGGAGCCCCTCCCACACTCCAAACCACTTGGCCCTGCACCCCAACTTCCTACCTCAGCCTGGTGCAAGTGAGT